GCTAGCAGCTTTGACGTGCACGCTAGTAGCTTTGACGTGCACGCTAGCAGCTTTGACGTGCACGCTAGCAGCTTTGACGTGCACGCTAGCGGCTTTGACGTGCACGCTAACAACTGATTGTTTTACTTGCACGCTAACAGGTTTGACATGCGCGCTAATGGCTTTGACGTGCACGCTAGCAGCTTTGACGTGCACACTAGCAGCTTTGACGTGCACGCTAGCAGCTTTGACGTGCACGCTAGTAGCTTTGACGTGCACGCTAGTAGCTTTGACGTGCACGCTAGCAGCTTTGACGTGCACGCTAGCGGCTTTGACGTGCACGCTAACAACTGATTGTTTTACTTGCACGCTAACAGGTTTGACATGCGCGCTAATGGCTTTGACGTGCACGCTAGCAGCTTTGACGTGCACGCTAGCAGCTTTGACGTGCACGCTAACGGCTTTCACGTGCACACTAGCAGCTTTGACGTGCACACTAGCAGCTTTGACGTGCACGCTAGCGGCTTTGACGTGCACACTAGCAGCTTTGACGTGCACGCTAATGGCTTTCACGTGCACGCTAATGGCTTTGACGTGCACGCTAATAGCTTTGACATGCACACTAGCAGCTTTGACGTGCACGCTAATGGCTTTCACGTGCACGCTTGCAGCTTTGACATGCACGCTAGCAGCTTTCACGTGCACACTAGCAGCTTTGACGTGCACACTAGGTTTGACGTGCACTCTAGCAGCTTTGACGCGCACGCTCGCAGCTTTGACGTGCACGCTAGCAGCTTTGACGTGCACGCTATCAACTGATTGTTTTACGTGCACGCTAACAGGTTTGACGTGCACTCCATCGTCTCTGTGGTTTCGTGGATCAGCGCGAGCGTCCGGTTCTAACGGCTCTTTGTGTCTGTGCTCTCAGGAGGCGCTCGGCTCTCAGGTCAGAGAGTTCGGCTGTGAGATGAAGAACCCCGTCAGTCAGGAGAGCAGCCGCTCCGTCCCCAACCCGACCACAACCGGTGAGTTCTACCAAACCGAGGCGGACCGGAACGCTCCTGTTAACAAAATATCTCCTGACCCACGGACTGATGTTCATTAAACGTCACGTCTGGACTCGACCCGATTCAAGATGGCCGAACAGCCGGGACACAAAGTTCAACAAACATTCAGCTGGAACAGGGTGTGGTAGTAGCTGAGAGTCATCCGCAGCACGTTTAGTGTAAAATGTTAAAAACTAGAGAAGTTCACAGATGAACAGTCGCCTCTTCATCGGCTGATTCCTGAAAATCTCTTCAACTTGTTTCATCAGATTAAACTTTAATCTCAGCGTTTTAGGATTTTCTCGTCTGTACGTTCAGGTTTTAGAGTTCCTGCGGGCGGAACGTGTCGTTTCAGTAAAGTCTGGTGAGACGCCTCCCTGCGTCTCTATGCCGACGATACAGTTGTTGTTTGTTTGTTGTTTGTTGTTGTTGTTGTTGTTGTTGTTGTTGTTGTTGTTGTTGTTGTCTGACTCGGTGAGACTTCCTGTATAAATGAAGGTTGAGTTCAAACTCCCGTCGCTCTTGTTGAAGTTTCAGGCAGGAGCCTGCGGGTCTGGAGCGGCGTGACGGTGTTCGTGTGTCTGCTGGCGGGGGTGCTGCTGCTCGTCGCCCTCCACAGGTTAAAAACAGGTAAAACTCACTCGGCTCCACCTGAGCCCAAACAAGCTGCACCTTCATCCTCCGTCACGTCTCCAACCGTCTTCTGTTCTCTCTGCAGGAGTCTGCTTCTATAATAAAGGTGAGTCAACTCATATTTGTACGATAAAACATCGACTTTGATGATTTAAAGTTCACTCAGTGAGAAGCTGCAGACAGGAAGTCATTCTGTGTGATCCTTCCTGGGGGGCGGGGTTAAATAATTTATCCAAAGGACAGAATAATAAATGAAATAATATAAAGCGTTCTGAGTAAACTGACGACTGGTCTGATTCTGTCCCTGCAGCGTCCATGCCCTGGGAGGGAGGTAAGACACTTCCTGTTGTTTCCTGTATGGTTGTTTCAAATTAAAACCTCAACAATCTGCTTTATTCTTTTTATTTTTTAGACTTTTGGAGGAAGAGCGATGGGCAACGTAAGCTTCCACATCAGCGTATTTTCTCTAGCTCCAGTTTTGAAAGTACAAAAAAAAAAAAAAGTTGACTTCTTTTTGCTTTTATTTTGAAAAGCAGAGACGGACATATCCAAAGGGTCGTCCACTCTTCAGCCGAAGGAGCAGCCAGACGGTGAGACGCTGCCTTTAAGTCATGTCAGACGCTATGGAGATGAATTCATGTCAGAAGTAGTCGCACAAAAACACTCTGCAGGAAGAACATCATGCTGCTAGCTGTTAGCATGCAGCCATATTATCTACTGTTTGAGCTGCTAGCTTTTAGCATGCAGCCATATTATCTATTGTTTAAGCTGCTAGCTGTTAGC